GACTCTCGTTTCTCGATTCCTTTCTGTCCGCGTCACTATCGAGTCGCGGCGTACCTCGACCGTCGGGCTCTATCCAATTCTTCGGACAGTCCGCCGAGGACTCATTCCGCGATTGGTGCTGAGGATGGTGGTCTGTGAAGGAGCCGCGTCTGATGCGAGAATCATTCGAGCGGGCGGAAGATACACTATGAAGACTGTCGCGGGAGTCGTTCAGGAAGCGGCGACGGCTATCTTTGAAGCCGCCTCGCTGGAAATCTCCCTGCTGGGGGTTCGGACCTCGGCGCCAGCTCCCTCCGTCGTTTTGGCGCGGACCATTCCGCCAGTTGCCTTGCCTGAGGGAAAAGATATTTAAGATATCACAGCGAAGTCATCTGACGAGAGGGAATCGACACGATTCCTCTTGACCGACCTCTTATTTCTCTCCTCGTAATCGTGAGCGTTGAGGTCTCTCGCTGCTGCTTCCCTGAAAGGCCCGGGAGCTTTTTATCCGGAGCGCTCTCCGGAACCTCTAGCTCGGGATGCTCTGTCCCATAGTCAAGACATACGAGTCACGAGTAGAACTCCTACCTGTATCTATCGGAGCGTCCACTGTCAAAAGTGCTGCGAGCGTTCCGATCTTCTCGTGGTCTGTCACTGTAATCGAGGAGAGGGCATTGTGTTATTCAATACCGCATTTGATTTGAAGGGAATGATCCGTCCGCCTCGAATAATTTCGCGAATTACCCGTCCCGAATTATCGACCTAGATGAATACCTTCCATTCTGTGAGTTCGCCGAGCTGAAGCTCCTGTGGTCGTCTCCGTGGGAGTCGTACCTGCTGGAGGAAACCGATATTGAGGAGCTCGATACTGAATCGCTCGGACTTCGTGGGGTCTCGTTGAGATTGAGGCAAAGCATGCAAAGTCGCGGCGCGGGATTCCGATATAAGAACAACTACTGACCTCTCGTCGTTCCTAGGACCCCTGTCGAGACGTCCTCCATTTGACATCGAGGAGTGCCTGAAATCCGTCCAATGAGAGACTTAAGCTTTGGCCTGTTTGATGCGAGGAGCCGGAATGAAACTTCGAACGGCCATCTGCAATTAACTCAGCTGAACGGACACGGACCTGTCATAGGAACGACCGTTGTCGCGGGAATTCCAGGAGTCTCTGGCGCTGCAAATCCATTCGGCATAGATCTCAGTTGAGAGTGTATGCGATATCGAATCTCGGGAGAAAGATCTGGAAACTCACCCGTTGTAAGTGTTGAATCGTCCGCCGACGTGGTTCCCGCCGTTCAGACCATTCGCTGATTGATGCCTGAAGATGAAGACCGGAGAACTTCGATTAGACGATTTCTCATACCACGGGAGCTTCGATAGGAGCGCCCGAAATTCTAGCAGTATGTACCTATTCACCATTTTCAAGCAAAGATCGAACCTGGAGAATTCGTTTGGGTGATTATGATTGCTATTCCGGTCGTTGTTCGCAGAATAATCACTGATCTGATGGTTGTTGTTCTTCATGTGGTTGTTGTTCCTGAGAGGACGATTCTGGAAGTTGTTCATTTTGTCGCTCGAGGAGCGGCTGAAAAGTGAAAGTTAAGTTAGCTACAGACAACGGACTTCGGGGCATGAGTCATGGTCATCACATGATCATCTTGCTCAACGACTAGTTCTCCACCTTATGTATCCCGGGGGTCCACGCATAGTCATTTCGGCCAGTTTCTTCTCGACCGCCTCCATGGGATCAATTTTTTCTGCGGGGAGAATTCCAAGGGTTAAAACTCTCCGCAATGACCGGAAAGGCGATTGTGCGGAGGAGGAGAGAAAATCATATAACCTGCATGCTCCATCACTGCAGGTGGGGATCCAAGTTTCACGCTGACACTGGAGGTGGAGGTATCACGAGAATGTGTCAGCTTTGTTCTCTGCTCGTTTTTCGGTCCTGCTTGGTACAGTGGTCGCTCCTGCCTGGTAGAACGCCTTTGACTCGAATCTGTGGAGGTTGCAAGATGTTATGATGAATCAAAACGAATAATCAGCTTAGGGTCAACGAAAGATCGTCGCCCAAAACAACGGACAGATTGCCTGCGAATGAATTATATAATTATATAATCGAGAATAAGTGTCGCTGTGTCCTTAAGACGGGCGAGCTCCGTGAATTTCCCATGGGGTACCGCTCCGTAAACTAGGACGACCGTCTTCGTCGAGTTCCCTCATGTTGGATCGACCTCGTTACTCGCAAAGCTCGGCGGGAAACCCCGGGCGGGCGACGGCGCGGATCCCTGCCGATCAGAGATGGAGAACAGCGATACAGTTGGTCGGCCGGGAGGACTGACTCAGATTACGACGTCGGAGAGCGACCGAAACCGAGCGAAATTCGAGCTCACTTATGCTCAGAGTCGGCGCGCGAGTTGGTGCCTCTCTTCTCACCGATTGTGAGTGAGATCAAAGAGCCGGATCGGCGAGACTCTCACCGAAACCCTTCATTTTAGGGACGAGGACGTCGAACATCGATCCTGAGTTTCAATCTTCCACAGACTCGTCGAAGTTTTTCGCAAAGCCACAGTGATTGAATCATCATCATCAGCCGAGAGGATCCGAAAGGAAGTTCTTAGCTTGAGTCAAGACAAGAATGCTCGATCCATAAACGACCAGCGCCAAGTTTACCCGAGATATGCACTCATGACAACCAGTTGGTCTTAGACTTGATTGCTCGGGATGACATTTCCGTTTTACCTTCCCCGTTCCACATGAGATCCATCATCTGTAGACGGGATTAGACGACAGCGGAGCGTATTACCATCGGAGTCGATTAAATATTCACAAGTCCCGCCCAGGCCAGCAGTCTCCCCGTTCGGTACAGTGTTCCTCGCATCTCGTCCTCGCACGGAGAGCAATCGGACACTGGGAGTCCGGATCTCGGCCAGACGTTCACTAGCCATGAACTCCTGGATTCCGTTCACCTGCCACCTACACCTGCTCGCCAAGCTCCCGGTCGTCGACGCTGAAAGGCGACGCTCACCTTTATCGGCCATTGTAGGCCACTGGATATTCGTCTGCGAAGGACGACGGATGTTTTCCGTGTCTGCACAGGGCTTCACTGTCACTGATTCGCGAGAGTCTAAATTTCACATCGATGCAGTCACATTATGGCGATGATCTCGGGTGATGTTTTGGAGGCGACGGCAGCGTCGTCTGGCACTCGGCGCGACCACTGGACGCCTTCGCCCGCGACGCAGTTCGAGAACAAGGTCTGTCGCGCAGGGGACACGTTCGCCCCACCTGTGGCGTAATTTGCGAGGATCCTCGTCAAAACTCCATTGAGCCACGCTGAGCTTACTACGTCGTTTTCGGCACCGAAAAAAGGCTCACGGGGGTCCCGGGAGCTACTTCGTCGATGAGTCGATTCCTTGAGGAAGTGGCTCGATAGCTGTCTTGAGGCGCTTAGATGTCCTGAAGCTTCTGGTCGCGGGGCACGGGTTGACGAGCCTTTGACTGCACTCAAACAGTTGGTATGGCTTGTTGTGGAGACGGCGGCGGGCTGCTTCTCACCACTGCTGATGATCTTCGTCGCTGTCCCTCAGTCGTCGTCGTCGTCGCCGTCGTGAGTAGTGGGTAGTGGGCTGGTTGGTGAAGGCAGCTGAACAATGAAACCTCGGTCGCCGGCCGCATAGGTTGTGTTGCTTTCACGGGCACGGTGCTTTCCGGGTGACGCAGAAATTTCAGTATGTATCGCCACAGGACATGGAGTACAGGGAGAAGAGGGTGAAAAATACAAGAGAAATAGAATCTCTTGATGGGAGAGGGTCGATACATTGATGTCGATGATCTTTGCTGCGATTTATTGCGGGGTCGGGCGATACACTTGGTGACTGCTTTGTCGTTCCCCTATCCCCTACGTTGATGCGTGTCATCGTTATTCTCCCGGGTCGAACTCCCAGTCAGCGAAGAACGGAGCGACCGACGTTTGAGGAGCCTCAGGGCGATTCACTAAATGGTCTCCGGATTATCTTCCCAGCCTTCTATAACGTGAAAGCGTCTCTAAGCTCGGCTCAGGAGGGTTACTCTCCGGGACGGCTCGGAGGTACGCTTTGCATCGTTTCGGGAAGCGCGAAAACACACGAGTCTTCCCAGAACTACCTGATGCCGAAGATGACCCTTAACGGAAGGATCGGCAATGGAGTCTATCGGGAGCCTAAAAAGCCGCTTCAAGCAGTTACTTCCATGTGGTCGGACCAGGGTGATTCCCGCTGGCTCGGTCGGAGAAAGTCCAGGTTCATCTTTGCCGTTAGCAGTCCCTCGGCATTTTCTATCGGAACTCAGAATCCTAGGATATTACAGAGATGGGATGAGTGATCCGCGAAGTCGAAGAATTCCGAACGTACAACTGCTGCGACGGCGGAGTGTGGCCGAAATGACGGGCTCAGCTTCTCGACGACAGGTTGTCTGGATCTGTACTCTGGACTGGCGCCCTACGCTTAACGGGTTATGGGAAACTTCCGTTGTGTGGATGGACGGAAATTCTTCACGTAGAGGAGCAACGAAATCTGTAGTTCTTCGCTGTGCCATTGATCCGTGAGATCCCGTATCGTGGTTCTGTGGCGATCGCTGCGAATTCACTTTCATGACCCCGTCCCATAGTTCAGACGCATCATAACAATGGGCCCCTGCACCGATCGCTCGCCAGAGCTTGAGGACACGCAGGACACCCTGGTCATCGAAACGTCGCGAGAAGTCGAACTCACCGGGAGATGAAGTCCGGTTCCTCATTCAAGTTATCTACCTCGACGGTTTGACCTTGATTGGAATCTACGAGAAGTTCAGTGACAACTCCAGCACTCGGCATACCTCGACCAGAACGATCCGCAGATAGATCGAGGCGTTCGAATTTATGTCGATGATGGGCGAGCTCTCTTCCGTGCCAGCGCAATTAACGAGATTTCTTCACGGTCCGTACGGTAATCGTAAGAACCTAGCGCGAGAATCGGGAATTCCCGAGCTCTTCAAGAAACATAACATCTTCAAGCTTTTCATTTTCATGAATCGACTTCCACAATCGATCTTTCGAAGAGCGCTTGAGGGGAATCATCTGGCGACGCATTCCGTAACGGGGCCCAAATTGCCGGGCGTTATGTACAAAAGATTGTCGATTCCCTGTGCGGATCTTCAAGTTGAGAATAGTCGATCAACTGAAAACTCGAAACGACCTCGTCGCGTCGTCGACGTCCAAGTTTCCAGATCCTGTTGAGCTTTCCTCTGTTGCTCCTCTTGTATCTCTGTCTGACTAACTCCTTCAGCGAGGTTGTCCAGGAGGCCCAGTGGTTTGACAATCTCCATAATTTTTTCGAATTGCTCGTCTCGACCACTCGGATCCGTTATCGCGATGCACGCCACCTGGAAGCCGAATCCTCGGTTCGTATCATGAGCCTACGCACATTCAGAGCTCGATATCGAAGCCCAGCAGGTCTCTTTGCAAACCTTGGATGGCTTCTGGGAGAGCCTCTTCAATTTGTTGCGGGACAGCGCAACCACCACAGGCACACGATATATTTTAGCTTTCGCGAGCAGATCTTCGATGAGTTCATCGAGTCCTCCAGGGCCAGCTTCGAGATCTCGCGCCATAATGATCATTTTGACTCTCTGGCCTTGCATGAACTTGACAGATTCCTTCAAACCGAAGTACATGCGCTGCCGCATTCTAGCCTTGATCTCGTCTTTGCTATAGAGCCGGTCCTGGAACCTCTTGAGCCCGATGATCAACTCGGTTGCCAGTTTCTCCACCTGCGGATTCCGTGAGCGAAATTTATTCTGATGTGAGTCCTACTGCGGGATCAGGAATTCCTCAATTTATGAGTCGCGGCCAAAGTTTACCTCTTTGAGAGATTCACCCTGGAGATCTGCCTTCAAGCGATCCATGGTGGGCGTTCGGGTTAACGGTTGTTCCTCCGATACCGTTGAGGATTTCACTGAGCAGCTCGCGGGAGCCTCGGACTCTCCCTCGCTGGTTCCTCGGATGGTTGCCGGATCAGCGAGTGGCACGTCACTTCGACAACGATACGATTGAACGTTTGCCGCAGTCGGGGAGGATTCCAAGCTCCTCGATGGAGCACCTTCGGCAGTTCTATCTGTACCGACATCGGCTCCTCCTGCACCTGTCTTCGTCTCGGGCTCTGACCTCGCCTCACACAATGGATTGTCGATTCGAACACCGTCGACTCTCGATAAGGCGGGCAGGTCCCCCGTCTCGACAGCTGCCTCTCGGGCTTTTTTTTCGCGGTGATTCACAACAGACTTCTTCAACTTTGACAGCTTCCTGTTGGCATCGGAAGGCCGGATGATTTTCTTCTTCCGTGTCGCACGCTCCACCTTCGCATGCGGAGCATCCGGCTTGCCGGTCGGCAGCGGTCGTTGCAATCTCGAGAGAGCGGTATCGATGAGAACGGCTTCGAGAGAAACGTCGTAAGCTCTGCCGAACTTGGGTCGACTCGACTTCGGTACTCCAACTTCCATCTTCGCCATGCTCTCAGATAAAGCCTCCGTCTTGTTTCTCGGGGGCTTGCTCAGCATACTCGCGTAAGTTTCTTTCTGGACGAACTCCGCGGCGTGAGGGGACAGGGACGACATTTCCAACAGCACAGTGTGCGCCGGGCACACAGAGACGGACCTGTGGCCGGTATGGACCCTTGCGAAGGGAACACAGGTGATTAGAGGAGTCGAACGAACTTGGCAAAGCTTGACTGGAACTTCGCAAGGGCATGGAACAGGCTTTCTACCGTCGGTACCTGCTTGTTACGCGAGAACTTTGTCGTAGGTCTCCATCACCCCGCTCAATATTTATGTTCGAAGCGCGCGACTTCAGCGTGGAGCGTTTCTATGTGTTCCAGGTGCACTTCTCCGCCGTAGCCTTGAATCCGGCGAGTGTCGAACGAAATGACTACCGAAGGGAGAACACACCGGAGAGCCACCGTAGAGCAGTACGTACGTAATGAATTCTACATGGAGTAAAACTCCGCGAAAAAGAAATCCGTGGTCGAAATGATCGAACTTAATGATGCTGGTGATTTTTGCTTGATGTAGCAGTTCGGGCGGTCCCCCGGTTCTTAAAGTTCATTTTCATTTCCTTGAGAAATCAGGGATCGGCGTGGAGAGTTGAACTGGATTACCTAGACTGACGAAGGGTTCCTTGGGGCTCAGGAATGCCTAGTCTGATCAACCTCCGGAGGGTACACATCCTGACTAGTCGCCCCGCCGTATACAATGCGCTGGCGCCTCTGGCGTATTGCCTACGGCGGCCGAGTTGTTCCCCTCCTTGATCTTTGGAGCTATTGTCGGCGACTGATTCTCGGTCAACATCGACGTCATGATTCTGCCGCGCGCCCGAGCGTTTAACTCCAGCTGTATCAGAAAACTAAATCACGGGAGCCCTTCCTGGCAATGCTCCCGGAAATATCCGGGACGCAGCGCCTCCGGGAGGATGGTGGGCAGATCCCGACAGCAAAATCGGATAGATTGTCATCAGATGCGAGAGGCTGAGGAGACCGCTGAGCAACCGAGCGAACGACAGCCGCCAGTCGCCAGAGCTCTATTTATCGATGATCCGCTATTCTCTTCCGAGGAGGATGATGGAATTAGCTGACTCTGAAGAAAACTTAAGCGATTTCAACTGTTCCTGCTTTACGTCTGGATGGTTTCATTGACACGGGCTCGCTCCCATCCAGAGGACACATCAAGGTGATACTCCTTGTTGCTCTGGGCTCCGCTCCCTTAAACTGCGATTGAGTGGCTCTGATGATGTACAAGTAATTCCTTTCATTGATCCGTGCGGGAAGGTCTCCGCTTCAGATTCACAACAATCACTCATCATATTATTACAGACGCGTATGTTGAGTTGAAGTTTCCGTCTTGCGGTAAGTCACGCCTCCTATGAAATTCCTTGATGACGCGATACCGGCTGTTTGTGAACGTGGCAGATCCTCATGCTCATTACGTTAGATTACATTACAATAATGATTTCAGAATGTCGACTCGTTCGACCGAGTCACATCGGTCGGTTGGGATGGACTTCGTGAGAGTTTCCGTTTAGGAAGTCTTTCGAGATGACTCTGAAGTCTAGTGAAATCCGGCCGGTCGTGATCTTGATACGCCCAGCAAGACATCAAAATATCTTTGTACTCAACGATAGAATAGAGATTAGCTAGCGGGGGCTTGATACCCTTCGAAACTAGATATATGATGCTTTCCGGAGGTTGATCCTGGAATGGCCAGGTACCGGTGAGCAGCTCGAAGAATACAGTTCCGAAAGCATAGACATCACTCCGAGTCGAAAATGAGAGATCTGGGTGCTCGATTCCTGGTCGAAGGTCCTTGAGGAGTTCTGGAGCCAAGTAATAGAGCCATCCGCGAGGTATGGTCAAGTAGTTTCCTCTGCGGCCTTCTTGACAAAGCTTCGCTACCGAGAACAAACCGAAATCGGTGATGACCACCTTTCCGTTCTCGTAGAAGATATTTTTTGTCTTGAGATCCTTATGCAAGATACCTCTCGCATGTAGATAGCCCATGCCTGCAAGGAGATACCCGTCGACGATTCTGTTATTGAGTGCCTCGATTGAGGCTCGAATTACTGGAAATCGGAATGTCCAAGTCGCTCTCGACCGTACCCAAACAGATTTGCCGAGCTATGCTTCCGATTCGGTTGTGATTGAACTTGTCCGTCTGATAGTGTAGATGCCGATAGAGCGTCAGTCCTTTGCACAATGATGTCACAATGGCTAAATTCGGTGGTTTCACGCAAGCTCCCATGAACAACACGAGGTTCTCATGACGCGTTTTCCGGAAATTCGCAACTTCCTGCTCGAACGTTGCCATGATCCCCGCTTGTCTCCGAGGCGACGCTGTTTCCATGTTCAACATCTTGACCGCTACAGCACCGTGCCAATTGCCTCTGGAACAGGGGTAATCGTTTTCCATATTCCCCGCCTCTAATCTCCAGGGGAACGAGACGAAGCGAGCAAATGAGTGGTGCACTCTTTTGAAGCTACTCACCTATAGACGACTCCAAACTGGCCCTCCCCCAGTCTCTCTTCCAGGACGACCTCATCAAGTGGGATGTCCCATTCGCGGGACGACAGCTGTGGAGATCACGAAGAATTATATACATCAACAGCCATCTTCTCTCGACGTAGGAACTTCGAGAGGAGCTTTCCATCGCATCGAAGAGCAGCAAGGGAGGACCGTATAATATATTCCAGCAAAGGAGACGTCAGCCATCTAACGCGTTTCGACTCCAGACATGGATATCTGTATGAGTATTATAACATAGATGATCGCGGCATCAACAGAATAATACACGGCTTCACTACGGAAGTTCCGGATCGTTCTCCACTCGGGACAGAGGGTTTGTGGGAGGTGAACTCGAGTAGACTCACAGCGACCTGAGACCGAAATTCCAGATATCCCGCATCTGATTCCGGTACTATTGTGCCCTTAACCATCACGCCGGAGATATTTTCAGCCGCGTATAGGGAGGTTTTGCTTAGTGCCGTCCGAATTCCTGCCAGAAAAAAACTCACACAAACGCTTTCGGAATTCGAGTTCCCAGAAACGATGGTCTGCTCTGAGTCGGTGATAGAGCCATTCTTCACATCTCCACGAATCGAGAGGTCTCCCTGACTCTGGCGCTCTTCGCTTCCTCTTCTGAGATTTTCTTGGACTGGAAACTTGAACTTGCTGCCTATGAGTCCCACCATCACTTGTGGCGAACCGGGGGCCGAGGAAGCGCAGGACGACGTCGTGCTCGAAGAATCTCCAGCATGCTGAGAAGACCATCCTCGTGAGAAACCCGCGTATGCGTGCTTCGCAAACCTCCCCGCCGACGGAGAATGGCTTCCGAGCGGGCTATTGAGATTTTCGAATGCGCCTTGCTGGTATCTTCGCGCGACGGCGTCGAGGAGCTCATTCAACAGAGCACAAGTCGGGGGCACCTGCGAAACATCATTCGATTGAAATCCGACGAGGTCAGCGCAGTACCGGAGGAACTCGCGGCAGAGGGGCTCCCGATGAGTACATGCAGCGGGGCAATCGTCGGGCTCCGGATTCTACCTTTTCTACGCAGTCTCGATGACAACGGAACTTGCACTCTCTGCATTTGTACCCGAAGAACATGGGTTTGTCACATTGTTGACAATTGGTCACCTTCACGAAAGGCGAGAAGCGGTGACGCATCTCGTGGTTCATGCTCGGGAGTCGGGGAGAAAGAGGGAGAGACTGGCTGGTAGGACTTGGAACGAATTTATCGGCTGCGGGAAGAGGACCCATGTAACGACAAATCCGGCCCAGCGAGCACTAGGGAGCGCTTCAATTCACAAATATTGATGGGACAACAGACTTAGACGGTCCGTTGCGGGTCCCGTTTCGAAGTCCGAAGGGACCGCCAAGACTCACATTGCTGTGAAGGATGACGAGTTCTCTCGGAATCGCTGGTGAGGTAAGCGTCCGAGGAAGCATCGGGCGAAGTCGCATACGATGGACTCCTTGACGGCGAAGATAGCTCAGTGGAGCCCGGCGTGGGCTCGGTCTGGAGCCTTCTCCGGGCGTAACGATGACCTTGTCCTCGATCGGATCGGAGCTGATCCAGGCGAGATTTCGTACCCGTCACACCTTCGGCGAAGCCTGGATAAGCTGAAGTTTTCCGCGGGATCGGAGGCGTCCTGCGAAAACACGATCGAATGATATAAACACTTTCAGATCCGTGATCGTTAGGAATGCCCGTTGCAGATTGCCACGGTGTGCGGAATCTCACTTCGTTGCGCAACGTAGGCTCGGCTCCGATGGAATTTCAGCTGCCGTCGCGTTGAGGGGGATCCCAGGCTTGGCTAGCGGATCTCCTGTCTTTCCCAGGTATTCCCAGCTGAGGTCCTCTTCGTAATCTATAAACTGGGAAACATGCGAATCATCCACGCTATTCGTGATCCTCCACATGCCGGTTCGACTTTTGAATAGAATTTCGTAGGCTTGCGCCCGAACCTTGCCCGCTGGATAGTCCGTGGTCAGATATCGATTTTCGATCATCCGAAGGTTTCTGAGAGCGACAGTAAGATGTTCCCGGTCCTTTGCCCCTGCATCGCAGAGAGCATCTGCAGAAATGGGACAGCATAAACAGATACTGTCTGGATTTCGGAGATCTTCGGTAATTATTCTTTCGAACTCAAGCTCCACGGATTGGAATAGCCTCCCACCTCTTATTTGGTCATCCGTTGTCTCGAGCAATCGGTCGAAATTCCCAGCCGTCAGCTCTTTGATGCTCTCTGCTCCATCGTTGGTGAGGCCGACGACTTCGAGCCAGCACTCCAATTGCGGGTAGCTCTCGAGCTCATCGTGATAATCACCTTGAGATGCTGCTTTCCGGCGGTGATAAATTTGCCGGGCTGTGTACTGAAGACAGACAGACTGAAAAAATCGAAGGGAAGGACTAAATCCTTCAGGAGGCGAACAAGTTCATTCTATGAGCGAATTAGCTGACTGGGAATTCCCGCTTTCAAATCAATGTCGCAACAACTTCTGTTTGTCATGCGGGTGAAACTTCACCAGAGATGCCTCGAGATTCGGACCGTGTACCCTCGAGGGCCTCGAGACGCACATTCTCTCGATTTTTAACGACGGTTCCCGCTTTCCATGCGTCGACAAGACTTGTTTGGAGTGGAAAAAGAACGCTTGACCGCGATCCCAGCGAGGAACAACTGATAGAGTCCGCACTGAAAAAATCCGTCTATGGGAGCCCACCTGAGCGCATCGAACGGCTTTCCGAACGATTTCGGATTCGGGACTTGAATTGGTTCTGAAGTGCACTATCCGACGGCGCCAGAGATCGATGGAGAACTGTAGCAACTTGCAGGCCTCGAGCGGTCTGTATTCATAATCGTATTTGATTATGCGAGTGTTTTTCACTTTTTCCAACTGTTCTCGGTGTTGTTCCATCGCACATCGAACTCTCAGGGTCGGCAGACGTCAGCCGGTCGCGCAAACGCTTGGTTTTCTCTCGGGTCGTGCAAACATGCGTCGCAAACATGCCTCGGACGGCATAAGGGGCGACTTCCATCGATAGCAGAATTGGTCCCGTAGATCATCTTGTAGACTGGACCGAGAGACCAGTGTCTGCTTTTTCCTTGTTCAAATGCTTTCGCTACATACTTATCAGCTACAGCTTACGAATCCGATAGCTTGTAGTACCGGTAGAACAATTGCCCGATTCCCATTCTTTCATAAGTTATGAGTGTGTTATGCCTGATGTTTCAATTTATGTCGATAGCCAGTCATAACTCACAGCTCGAACGCGCCAATGGAGGGAAAACTAGCGGGCAGACCCAGGCAGCGCGAGCTGCCCCAGGATCGCGCGGCGCGGATCAGCATATAGATCGCATTCGACCGAGGTCGACAACACGGAACCGAAACATGTTGTCGACAAAAAAAGAATGTCACCGGCGGGGCAATTAGATTACGTGAGCTCTTCCGGATATCTGGAGCCTCAAGTGAGAGAGCTAAAACTATCGACTCTCCAAAGGCTCCGACTAGCAACGGAGGAATCCTGCAGGACTGTGAAGGATGGGATTTTCTAATCTCAAGACATCGAGAGCCGAAAGTCGACCCTCTGGAGTTTTCTCACCATCTTCGAGGATCAAAGATCTCAGCCGAGTTTCGTCGAAACCGACTTGGGTCTCGGGGCAACCAACGGAAAATCCCTCGAATATTTATTCGCTCATAAGCAAAAATCATCAACAGGAGCGCTGGGGCGGATATTCTGCGATTCCCGATGAAGGAGCTCAACTTGAGGATACTAGCTCGCACCCTGCTCCAGCTCTGATCGTTGTTCGGAAACCCCCGATCGCAGTGGGTGGGACTTGTGCTGCTTGACTTCACGCTCTTCGGTGAACTTGCCGCAAGAAGCGCGCGCTCCCGCGGTCTGGGTGTAGAGAGTGGGTTGTATTTTACCGTGAACTTGACTCTGAGTGCGCGGATGGCGATACAATCGATCGACGGATCGATCCCTATCCCCTGTCTGAGGCTGACTCGTCTCTGTTTCTCCCTCGAAGCGAATATTCTCTCCCGAGCCGCGACCCCATCCTGTTGGCAGCTCCTTGAGGGACCGGTCCTGAGGGCCAAAGCGAAAGAATATACGCCGAGTTCGATGCTGTGGCCGAAACGAAATGGTGTCAGCGGGAATAGAGTCTCGGAATAAGCAGCAACCTCGCTCCGGTAGAGCTTGTCATGAGTCCTGAGAGTCGGCCCAAAACTGTCGATAGACTATGAGCGTTAGGGGTTACCTTACGATCGAACAATGAGAATGTCTCGGTAGCTACCAACCTTCGAAAACGGGGAGCGGGGAGGCTGCTCCGTGGTGGGAGAGTGTAACACAGGATAACAACGACCACTGCGACGACGACTATCCTCTCAGAGGAGAAAGGGCGAAAGCTGGAATGCGTTCGACTGTAGACTAGACGTTCGCTGCCCGGATCAGATAGACTTTCTTCGTTGGAAACGCAATTAATCGACGTTTTTCGTTCGTTGGTGTTTTCTGTCGCGTCGTTGTTGAGTGATTTCAACGTGTTTCTACTTGTTCGTCGGTGCTCCACTGACACTCTCCGCTGTTTTGAGAACTCATCTACCTAGGTTCAGGCAACAGTTCGGCGAGCTAACGAGAATCAGCTGGTCGCGTAGCGAGGGAAGATCGAAACTGACTCCCCGCGTGTGCTTTGCGATTAGGTTTTTTTCGCTGATCGAGAGACCTGGCTGTAGAGCATCGCTCCGATGGCGTGTGTTGCAAGCAGCGCGCAGATGAAGCCTACAGCTGACGCGGGACGATCATTTCCAGCCGTTCTGTTGCACCTCTCGAAAATTGTGCTTTACTACTCGTTTTGTGTGATTCGATACATCGTGACTACCTTGTGGCGCGTGTTGAGCCAGCGAGGCGAAGCACAACAGGTTGTGGTGCCTCGCGAGAGACTTGAGGAACAGTTCTTCGCCTACTATACCCGAGGCTATTCCTATTTGAAAGAAGCGATTGAAGCCGACGAAGCCGATTCCGATGGAGGAGGTGCTCACGAGGAATTCCGAGAACGAGCCATCTACTTCTATACTCAGGGTATCCGAGATTTCCGCAAGGGACTCATGGCCGGCGACGTGTTGGCGAAAATCGCCGAGTCCGGCGAGGAAGTCACGACCACCCATCAGAAAATGTCCAAGTTCGTAGTGCTGGCCGAGGAACGGCTGAGTTTCCTCGAGACAGATGATAACTCTCAACAAACGAACAGCTTCATTGGGCCGATCTCCGAAGGTTCCCACGTGAGCTCCCGACGCAACTGGGAGAAACCCAATCAGCTCATGCGGATGTCGTCAGATCCCCATTCCGGACCGAGTTGGCTGCAGAAGAATGAGGCGAACGAAAGAGAACCTTGGAGACCCCCGGGAAAAGTTCCTTCCAACAACAAGTGCATTGTTGGAGGCACACTAGTCCGTAAAAACAGTGTGCCAAGGGAGCGTTCACTGGGCCGAAGCGCCGAAGCCACCGGTCGAACGAAAATCGACACCGGCTCTCTGCCGAGACGCTTCGTGTCAGCTCCGAAAAGAACCCCCTCGACTGCATCGCTCGGTCTCAAAAACCAAGTCAGCTCTTCAAGGAGTCTGCCTGGAACGCCGAGCCGACTCAGTCTGCATGGATCGATCAAAGGCATCGAACCCAAACTCGTCTCGATCATTGCTTCGGAAATCATCGACAATGGACCGAAAATCCGCTTCGATGATATTGCCGGCCAAGAATTGGCAAAGCAAGCTCTCAGAGAAATGGTTATTCTTCCGACGCAGCGTCCAGATCTTTTCACCGGCTTACGGAAGCCCCCAAGGGGTCTGCTGCTCTTCGGACCGCCAGGTGAGAGATCGGATCTTAAATTCCGTCTTGGTTTTGATGTTCGTGGCTCGTGTTTTGCTCTTGTTCGCATCGAGTTCCGGTGTTGCGTAAGCCATGGTTTTCCGTTCGAGTGGATAGTCGTGTCGTCTTGCCATGAGTCGAATTTCAGCCGACTTGATTTGTTCTGACCACTTCATTGTCATGACCGCTTGTAACGTCCGGATACGGTTGGTTGGCGATAAAGTCGCTCATTATTTAGATGGGAGGCACCAGATTAGAGCTCGTGGACCATCGAGAGATTCTGAGCGCAGCACTCTTTCAAACTACGTGACCCTCTGTATCTGATCCTTCCAAGAGTTTCAGGAAAGTTATTGGGAATACTCCGAAGCGCTCCAGCAGCGCAAGCGCTCATTCTATCAGACGCTGTGAGCTTCACAATGCGGGGCCGGCCGCGGAGCCCCAGAGCAAGTTTTGTGCCCGACCGAAGGCCGCTTAGCGTTGGCTGGCGGTGCGGTGGTGATGTCCATTGAAGTCAAGGGCAGAAATGGCTGAAGTTTAGATCACAGGAAAGCCGTTTGCATTGAGAAACTCAAATGATTCCTTTTGCGCGTTATAGAGACGACTTCGCGGATCATGTAACTCAGTTGCGTGAAGATGACGACGCGGACAGTCGCATGAGGGGAGGGTTTCGAAAGACCATCTCGTTCACGTTGTGAACTTACTTCTCCCGAGGAGCTCAGCGATACTTCTCGCGTGAATCAGCCCCTCGGTTTTCGACGCGGAGCGAGCCGAGGGCTTCACAAGAGTTCCACTCGCGACGGAGAAGACATGCTGAAGACTTTGCTCTGGAGCAGTTTCACAGCTTACAAAATTAGTTTCTGGGAATCGAAGTGTTTATTGGGTCCAGCTTGCGAGGCTGCGCATGGAGGCGGTTCGTACCTCGTCAGGAACATTCCTCCCCACAGAATACGGCATTCGTCCACATTTCGCAATCCAACACGCCGACTGAGAAATTTCGCATGAGGAGAAAAAAAACTCCGGTGTTTCCTGAACTTCTTTTGTCAGAGTAGAAGAGCTGAGCTGTGTCGCAGAAGCGAGCGTCCCATTCCGCGCCAATGTTTTCTGTTCGCCGAGCCCAGATGTTGTTCTGGCGTCAGTCCAGTTTGTCTCGCTGCGTCCGATGAGCACGCCGGTGGTCTCGGTAGCTCGTCGAGAGCTATCGTCCACGCAACGCGATTCGGCGGGCAACAATGCTAATAAACATTAGTGCTGAATTCTTATGAGGAGCGGACGTAAGAAGCTTCCCAGGACGATATCACGATATTCGACACAACCCGCGACACGGTCGTCCGCGATTTACGTCCATCAGCACCGACCACCACACCCACGTGGGTCGAATGACTGGCGAGTCGCAAGTGAGCTGTTCCGCGGGGATTATCCCCCCCGCCCCGCAAGGAATCACTACGAACCAAGAGAGACATGTGCCGTTTGCAAACGATGATCGATAGCGTACGGAATTTCGTGGCGCTAACGGTATTCCACCACCACACTATCGTGGTTCCCGGCCAGATCTGGAATGTTTCTTCTCGACAATGATGATGTTTTGTTGACTCTGCTCGCGTGTGGGTTGTTCTAAAATTTTGAAGCACCGCCTCGGACCGGAAGCGATAATAAAAAGCCATCGACTATTGCTGTTGTTGTCTGAAACATATCTGGAAGCTAGCTCAAGAAAGGGATACCCTCATTCAGATGAGTCCGCGGGAAATACGTGGCAAACGATGCCCCAAGTCTGTCGGGACCAGGGGAATCCTCCCCGAACGAGGTGGAACATTCTCCTCGAACCAAGCGGTCCACTCGCCGAGAAAAGTTGCGCAACGACGGCTATTTGTTCTTCGGTGACACCCCCTTCCACGAAGACGACGATAGCGGTTGAACCCTTTCGCTTTGATATCGTCTCCCATAAAATGGCTGGAGGAACCGCCAGCTACCAGAGTCACTCCTCCTGACATTGTGAAACAAACGCGATTCATCTCGGGAATGGTGTTTCCAGCCACTGGAAAATATTTCCCGATGTCTTCGTATGTACAATTCAAGCAATCAGACGTCGCTTGCAGCAAAGCTTGGCGGAATGCCTTCCGCAGCTTTGTTCAGTGCGTTTCGCCTGCGCGTTCGAATCGATACTTTCGGTCTCGGCGTTCTCTAGTACCCCCATTCACTGCCGATCCCTTGCGGATAATAATCGAGGCAATTCAATCTTCTTTTAGTCCGAAGTTGAAAGTTCGTCTGGTGGTGCACGGCTCGAATCCGAACGTCGGCGTCGGGATCGCAACTGGTAAGCGGGTCGGCAGAGACCCGGCTCGAAGCCAGCGGTGCGAAAGTTGTTCTCTTGAGTTGTACGCGGCTGTTCCCCAGAATGATTCCAGATGGTGATTGAGAGCGAGTCTTCATCTCGAAAATCTCCCTCAATTTCCATGATAATTGCTCGAAGCCAACGGACCGGTCGGTGTTGTTCCAGCGCTGATCAAGCATTCCGAAGCCTTAATTTCTGGGATTCCATGATGTTGTCTAGATATTCCGGGCAACGTAGCTCTTCCAAAGGGCACTGAGCCCTGGAACATGAGGAGCGGCCGGCGGACGGGGAAACATCCAGCGTTCGCCAATGCTTGAGCAAGTCGAGACATTATGCTCAACCGAAGTGGAAGACTTTCCTCAAGCTGGAACGAATGACCGACCGACCGACTGACTTAGAAGCTCTCTGTCTGCCTGATGAATTTATAATGACAGCCGACGTAGTCCGCTCGACCGCTAGATTTTCGGGGATCCACACGATTTGCAGCTGTCTTCCGCGTTGAGATTTTCAGCTTCCCGCCAGGAAGCAGGAGCTGCTCGTTCGTAAGCCCAAGAGGTAATCTGAAAGCTCGAGTTCTCTTTATCCATGGGCGTGGACATCGTCTGGCCATTCCCCTCCCACGACAGATTTACGCACATGTCCAACCTGATCGAGCCTCGCTGTCTGTGGGCGCCATAAAAAAGATCCCGACCGGAGCTCGTGAATCTGAGACAGCTACTTGCTCTCCACATAGAGAGTGCCGTGAGTGCTCGGCGGAATATGTACGCCGTAGAGCAGCGCTCGAAAGGATTCGCCCTTGACAGAAGTGAGCTCGAATGTAGAATCGATCCTCGGCAGCGTCTGACTGACTCCACCTAACGAGACGATTACCGTTGTACGGAGTTCTACTCCTCGTATAATGAATGCTTCCGAGTGACCTTGACCCGACAATCTCGTGCGTGTCTCTGCGCAGAGTCTGCGACCCGATTGAGCCAGAAGCTCATCGAGATCTCGCGATAAGACCTCGACCCTACGTTCCCGGGGAATCGACACTGATCGTCGCGCGATGTAGCTGAGGATCCCACCGCAATCCTATGTCTTATCGATGTAGATATCTCCGGCGTTTTCCTGATTCCCTCCATCGGTCAGTATTGATCGGCGCCGCCGGTCGTTTTCCGGAGGGAAACGTGAAGTTGATGCTCTGATCGCGTAGTTCACCCGATCCCCTATGGAAGTGCATCCTAATACCGTTGAGGCATTGTTTGACGAGAATTCATGCGATTCCACACTCAGCTGATGCGACGCCATCGAGGACGGAAGGTCGTCATGGGTTGAAACAGCTGAGACGCCCGGCGGAATATATTTATTCACCCTGAACGACATCAGTCGAGTCAATGGATCCGCCTGTGCTGTTGTAGCGTGAAAAGATCAAACATAGTAAAGTCTTTCAACAAAACCATTTCGTTACAGGAAACGGAAAAACGATGCTTGCTAAGGCCGTCGCTCACGAAAGCTCGTCAACTTTTCTCAATATATCCGCAGCTACGCTCACGTCGAAGTATGTCGGCGAAGGTGAGTTAGAGCCGTGCGGTCCATCTATTGTATTTACGTTTGTGAACGCGCATGTAAACGCTCGAAGGGCATCATGTCCAGCTCGCCGTCCTGGTGTCACGTACTCTCATGCCCCATGGTTTCCGCTCTCAGGATCGTTGACAAAGAACTTCATCCACAGGAGAGAAACTAGTTCGTGCATTATTCGCAATCGCTCGTGAGTTGGAGCCATGTATCGTGTTCATAGACGAGGTAGACTCGCTGCTCTCTTCGCGCAAGGAGAGCGAGCACGAGGCTTCACGAAGACTGAAAACAGAGTTCCTCTGTGAGTTCGACGGACTGCACGGGTCCGGAGATGAACGGGTGCTCGTGATGGGCGCCACCAATCGACCCTTTGAGTTGGACGATGCGGCCCTCCGTCGCTTTTCGCGTCGCGTTTACGTGGGTTTGCCTGATGCGACTACTCGGGAAACGCTCCTGCGTCAACTCCTGAGAAGTCCTCAGGTATCTTCGTACCTTTCCGACGAAGATCTCCATATTCTCGCGCAGTGGACTGAAGGATATTCAGGTGGGGTATCCCCTAATCATCATTCGTTCGAATATCGGACTTCTCATATTCGCTTTCCATTCGTTCGTAGGCCTCGCGTGACTGTTCCCAGCGATTCATTCCGGCAGCCGTAACTGACGTTCTCTCTCATTGTCCTCAGGAAGCGACCTCACAAACCTCGCGAAAGACGCCGCGCTCGCTCCTCTGCGAGATTTCGAGCCTGAACAGCTTCGAAGTCTCGATCTTCACCACGTCCGCGAAATCTCTCTCGTAGACTTCCGTCAGAGTTTGAGCAAAATCCGAAAATCTCTCGATGAACGAAGTTTGGTCACTTTCGAGAAGTGGAATCACGAGTACGGAGATGTGACAATCTGATCAGAATCCTGCGTGCGGCGATCTCAGAGTATAGAGCCGTTGGCCTACGCACACACCGAACTATTCAGAAGAGTGTTCTCGAAAATTGCGGAGCACAAATATCCCCGGACGACACGACCCCCTGTGATCCCTAGAGAGTCTTTCCGAAAGGTCCAGTCTGTGAAACCTTCTGAAAAGCCAACAGACCGAGGAAAAATTTTCGAAATCCAAGCTCCCACAACAATCAAGCAATCACATCAAATACCGCTGTGAACAAATCAGATATGAAGTGGAGGAAAACGTTGGTGACTAATTCAGAGCGAAGAAAAAATCTCGAATTGGTTGGAATCTTCAGATACAGAACATAAACATATATGTGTGTATTATCTATCCGAGAGTCTTCAACACGGCTGGAGACCAAAATGCTCATCGCTCTCGAACGGTGGGGCGGATCGAACGATTAATTTTGTAACAGATAGCTTGCTTGGAAACCGTGCTTCATAGTGCAGACTAAGCTTTTAATTAAAGGCGGGGAATGATTCCTGGAAACCAAACTATTTACATTTAAGTAGTTGACGGAGACGACACGAAACAGCTACGGAATCGCTCGATGAGTGCTGCTGAGCTATTAATCCCCATTTCGTGGAGTATAGACCGTCGCATGTCATGTTCGGGAGTGTCAGAATCCCGGATGAGGTTTCTTTGGCGTATAGCGATCAGCGCGGACCTAGTGTGATAGAACTTGCGTTCTATTGAACAAGTTCATTTGCTTTAAGAGGCTTACACCCCAGGTCGAGAAGTCGGCAATCAGAGAGAGGAGAGAATAAACAACGGGTTATATTTTGGAAACGATTTTCAATTTCCAGTGTCTTGAGTATATGTTTCGAATCTTTCTTTAGGAGTATCCGGGTTTCTCTCGAGACGATTCGAGGCGACGATCCCGTCTCTGCCGTGGATCCAATCGGTAATTCTTCAGAGACGGATGCCACACCGTGCACTATACGATCTCCCAGACCGGTGCATCTCGGAAGTTCGAACCGAGAGCCGTTTCCCCTGCGGGCAGTATCTCCCCGGGATCGTGGCTCCGGGAGGGTACAAATGGATACTTGCCCCTTTTTTATATTATGAAGATGCCGTACTATGGTACTATGCATATCACACTCTGTTACTGCATCCGTGAGCCCATGTCCGTCTTGTTCGTAGATGGTGCCCGTCAAATACAGGAACTTTCGAGGGGGTCCGCCGGGCCTCCGCGGAGCTCCAAAGCATCGTTCTCCAAGCTATTCACCAGAGTATATTCCTCTAAGACAGCGAAACCATCGATTTCCATCGAGTAGGGTACGAAGGATGTTCTGGAACGCAAGAATGTAGTTCAATCCGAGAGAAATCATTTTCCGGCAGAACGATAAAAGGCTCACGGAACCCCGAGAGTTCCGCGGCGCCCACTCAGCGAGACACTGAACTTTAGAGCAAGTCCGCCTGAATAAGATCACACAGACAATGCACGCTAAATGGAGTAGGCTCGGTAATCAGTAATCAGAGCGTGCCCTCCTATTGGAGGCAATACGGCAATATGGTGTTCGCGCTCCTTCCTGACTCGAGTGCCACTCGGTCAGCTCGGCCGAAGAACTTCTTCCTTTTTTTCGCCTAGAGGCTCGGATAAGAAAGAGCCGCCGAGAGAGAGAAGCCCCTCACAAAAGATGAGCGAATGGAACCCCACGCTAGAACCCCAACAATTGCTAGAAGGAGTCGTCAAGCGACCCGAGCTGCTCTGGAGGCCATCGAAGCTCGGTTCTCGGCTGGTCGTCAGACCTCAACCTGGATCCGGATTTGTTCGAATACCAAAACTTCATCGAATTTTAAGCTGTGGAGTTGAGGAGCAGTTATTCCCGAGATGGCGGGAACTAAAAGGCGGAAAGTGGAGACGAAAGTGTGTTTCCACATCGACGAGGAGGAAACGCCTTATCTGGTGAAGTTGCCTATTGCGATCGGAAAGTTGACGTTGAAGGACTTCAAGCGAAGCTTGCCAAGGACGAATTTCAAATTTTTCTTCAAATCGGTCGATCCGGAATTCGGGTAAGTCCAAGATAACTGACCGTCTCACGCGCCATTCTAGTCCTCGAGCGTCGAGCGTTGCAGCGGAATATCGAATGCTAATTAGCGCCGAACTGGTCAAGTCAAGAAGACTCGATGAAGGGCTTTCCGATGCTCAAATGCCCCGAGGGAATCTCGTTCGGAAATCTGCTCGTCGAGTTTCCCTCTAGTGAAATTCCGACCGCTCGAAACTCTTCAGTCTTCTGCATACTGTGAATTTCTCGATCATGAGCGTATCCACGAGACAAGGGTCTCTCAGGCTCTCTCTGCCGAGGCACCGAGATCAGACGCCGGAGACAACCCGGTAGATGATTGTGTTTGCACAACATGCTCGCCGAGAGTGGGAATACATCGTAAAATCAGCGATTCCTGCTGTGTCTTGGGTGTAGAAAGCGCCGAGGAACGTCACCCATCCGTCCAAGGGCTGTACTCTGCGGAACACCTACGCAGAGCGATAACCTCCCAGGGCTGAAGCCAGGAATCCGAACTTTATTCCTTATACACATAACCTCCTGCGCTCATTCCGCCCGAGAATCGTGATGACCCTGGAATTCCTCTAAATTATTGATTTTTCAGTGTTGTGAAGGAAGAAATCACCAATGATTCTGCGGTACTACCGTCGTTCAAGGGTCGCGTCGTTTCATGGCTTGTCACGGAAAAGATCACGGAGACGCTAACGCGCCACGCTCCGCTACGTGAGAGCAAGCAGCTGGGTCAGAAGCAAGCCGCGAATAACATTTACGAGAAAATCCAAACGCGAGAGAGGCTTCGTTCCGTCGGCTCCAGCACGGATTCGGAATCGATCGAGTTGAGGAACATTCTAGAGCCATGCAGTCCAGACCTCTCGTCTCGGATGACCACCCGGAGTTTAGAGACTGTTTACACCCACAGAGCCGGTGATTATGAGAACTATCCCACGCTCGGGCGACACGAGGTGCTCATGCCCAGCGAGGCTACGAGTACTCTAGGCGCCACCGAGGTGGCCGGAGACGACCAGAATCTCATCCTCGTCGAGCTGACTCTGACCGAATCTACACCCAGCCTCGGTATCCATGTTGCGGATTCACCGGGAGGGGATCTCTTGATCGACAGAATAATCGAGGGCAGTCTGGTGTGCCTCGATGGTCGCATAGGCGTCGGAGATAAACTTTTGAAGATAAACGGCACCCCGCTGCAGCATCTATCAAGCTCAGAAGCGACTAATGTGATGCGAAGCATCACGAGCACAACTAAAGAGGTGGCGCTCCTGATAGGCAAACGGAGTCAGAGCCCTTACGGAAAGTTCATTCGGCCCATCGACCCGGGCGCTTGGGTCGCTCATACGGAAGCCGCTCTCCAGGAAGGAACTTGGGAAAACGACTTTGCGCAAATACCTTTCGCGGCTGCGACATCCACGATGGAGCTGACGCCCCCATCGTCCACCGTGCATAGCTGGGGACCTGACGGTACGGACGAGAAGTCCGTCGAAGATGCGCTTTCAGAAATAGTTAGTGCGATGGCAAGAGCGAACTCTGGACTCAGAATAAAGGATAGGAAATGGCTTTCATTTCACTTCAGAAATGCTGCTGTAGGTACTGAAATCGTAGACTGGCTCCAGCGATATGGAGCGTTTGAGAGGAAGCACGCGAAATTGCTCGCGGAGAACATGTTCAAGGGAGGTCTCATCAGGAATCCATTGGTGAAGAAGCGTTTCAAGAAGAAAAGCATCTACACCTTCTGTGAAGAGATCGACCAATTATATCAAAAGTCTTTGGACGAGCGGATCTAGCAGGAGAGAAGAGAAGAGAGCTCTTGCGGCATCTCTCGATCAGTCCTCAGTCGAATTTAGTCCTCAGACTGGCGCTAACTGATGTTCCCTTTATTGGTGCTGTGATTTTAGTTATAAATCAATGTTTATGCATGGCAAAGTCTATGTGTCTTGTCTGACAGAGATATAGACGAGCGACGCGAAAGACGGTCGAAATTGTTCATCATCGTAGACTGGATCGCCGAATGTGTGAATTGTCTTCTGGATTCCCAAAAGGATCTAAGATCTCGCTCGAACCTGGATCGAGAGTATCTGATCAATGGCATCGGACTCAAAATCAAGAAACTCTGAACTGCGTCCCGACTTATCCGCGATTAGTCTCGATCGGTCACTCTTCGCCCGGCGACCTCGTGTGTCGAAGAATAAAGTCAGGTTACCTCTGGTACTAAAGTTGCTGATTTCTCAGTCGGGGTTTCTCCGTACTCGAGTCGGAAAGTCGTAGTTTAATAGTTCCCTACTAGTCAGGTCGTGTAGCAGTTAAGTTTTCCACTCATTCTCTCACTGTTCAGAGACAGCATATTTTTGTCCTGTGCCCTAGCTCTGTCATCGAGCCTGTTCAGCTCCCGGCAAATCCTCGCCCAGGACTAGAGGGATCAAAAAGCAACCACCCAGGATCGTTTCGCAGAAGTGATCCACGGGTTTCGCGCGGTTGCCGTAGATCTTCAGCCAAAAGCTTCATTCAAAGTTCCGCGAGTCGCAAAGTGAGCACCATGAGCTTCGTGTCAAGGGGTCTGAATCTTCATAGGGATCAGACTGTCTTGACTTTCTTCAAGGCATTCTGATTCATCTAGACACCAGCGTATTTAGGGGGTGGCATTTCAGGCCCGTGCCCCACACCAAGATTTTCTGCTTCATACTACCTCCCCTCGCTGAGGAATCTGAGTGTCGCGACTTCATCAATCGTCTCAGAACGGAATCAAACCACGTTGTGCTTAGTAATTTGGCTCAACCAACATGATTTTCAAGCTCAAACCCACCGGCCGACGACCTGCTCCTAATCTGTTGGAATAAGATGGCACCGTAACGAAAGCTGTGTATTTCTGCGTCGCCCCACTGAAAGGATTCTCTTCAGCCATCAATCTGGGAATCGTATCGTTTTGTTCAGACGGACTTCTCTCCAGGATGAAGGACGAAAATTCGAGGAGCATCTATCGGCGATTCCTCAGGTGCCCCTAAAGGTCTGAGCGATGGAGGAGCATTCCCAGAGACTCAAGGGGAGAACCTAGGGAGTTCCTAGATCTCTGTCCGCGATCTAGCCCCGGTCTGCCACCGCGCAGCGACACCGAGAAGCAATCCGAGACACACCGATGCTCTCTCGAATTCTCTGCCATCAGTCTACCGTCGAAGTCTCACGCTCAAACACTCGAAAGCCTCCTCGAATTCTATGCTGTAAGTTCACCAGAAAAGTCCCACTCCCGATGCCGTTTCTCTAACTCCCCATACTTCCAACTCATGCAGAATGATCCCGTAGCTAATGAGGCAGACGTTTTCGGCTCAAATATCAGCTGGAAAGGATTTATATAGGTAGCACCTCAAGGAAGCACAGAGCTCTCGATCGCATGTCATCGCAAGCCGCAGTCCGTCATGCTGGAACCGATCCCAGAGTTCCTCCACTCGATCCGGACTGACGCGGAGCTGTTGCTGACGAATGTATTGCCGAAAGCTCAGAATTGGGCGCATATCACGACATTACTTGCGAAGCATCAACCGTATCCCCTTGTATCGTGAGGGGGGAAGGGGGCTTCGATCCCAACGACCGGCTCTCTGAAGCGTGGGGTGTCTATCATCGCCCCGCCGCGCCGTAGGAGATTCTCGCGGAGCCGACCAGATTGTGGTACCAACGACCGCACTTGCGGTCTGGAGTCGAGGGAAGAACTGGCCGTCCGATCTCGACTGCGTCTTCGAGAATCGTCGCGTGGTTCGAGCCACCGATGCCAGAGTCGGAAAAGATATCATCCGAGAATCAATGAGGTGATATCTCGGAGCGGGCGAGTGATCGCAGTGTGTCGCCCAGGACTATGCGACCGGGATGAAATACTGAAAAAAAATGTGGAACGCTTCACGATTTTGCGTGTCATCCTTGCGCAGGGGCCATGCTAATCTTCTCTGTATCGTTCCAATTTTAGTATGTGTACCGAAGTACGACTAGTAGAGAGCCCATCTATCTATATATACTCGCCTCTGCGGCTCCTTCGCCGAATCTCCCTCGAGACGAGATTCGAGCTCAAGTTCCCGGTGGTCGATGCCGAGTGGGACTCGGATTACCCTGCCGCCGGATGATCGAGGATCTCTAGTGAGTTTCTATAAGTATTCTCAGGTTTTAATCACACTGCCAGATTGGTAAACCGCGTTTTTTTACCTCCCGGGCCTGCGAGCTGTTCGTCGAGGATCGTCTGCTAGACTCGTGTTTGGCGCGCGTGTCGTCGGCTCTATGCACCTCAACCAAGAGCCAACACGACCACAGGCGGGACTCGCAGTGGAGAGCATGGCGCTGGCGGTCAAATAGCCGTACCACGAATGTGATTTGATTGAATACGGAGAGGGCGCTACCAGAGAGCTCGGGGGCGGGGCTAGCACATTCGGTACTCAGGCCCCCTTTCAATGTTCAATGTTGATTCGGCTGCCGCGATTTCTCAGCTCTGGCGCATCTAACACTGAGCCCCTGCCTTCGTGCGGACACGGGCATGGAAGTGCTCGTATGCGTGATCGGAAAAAAAATTGTCAAATCGTCACTCAGGGGGAGCAGAATGAATTCAGGGAACCCGATCTGGAAGTTCGAGTCTGTCACCTTCGAGCAGGGTCTGTCTGCCTCTATGGGTCGGTTTGGAGGGTTCTCCAATGGGATGCGGGAGAGACAAACGTTCCGGTCTCGGCTCTCTCCGTCCTGAGCGTGGCAGAGCGAGAGAATCACTCGGCTCCATAGGTGACATCATAAGCTCCTGCTCAGAGCCCGGGATTACATCGAGGAGCAATCCAGTCGAGCGTGATTGGGAGTTCGAATGAGCCCGCATCTAGGTTCGGAAGGCAACCATCGCTTCCAGCCCTTATGACGGTGGTTGAGAAGTCCAATCAGCTCGCAGCGGGCGTATACGTGAAATATATGGGTAATAACTCCGCAATCGCGGATTGTGATCACGCTGGAGCTGGTGGTGACATTGTTGAACGCGACAGAGTCGGACCTTCGACCTCAAAAGACACCCAGAGCGCTTTTTCGGTGTTCTCGTAGAACGTGAGCTCGCGGATCCCTACAAAAGGACATGTGGGATGTGCGGAGAATCGACAACACTGTCAGATCCGGTTATTGTGGCAACCGCACGGAGTGCGGTCTGGATCACAACGACCGAGATGTCGTGCGGTCGACGGGTTAACGTTTTCACTGGTTATGAGCTCGGAAAGATTCTCGGATACGATCGATAGCTTCATGCGTGCATAGAAGAGGAGGAATGCAAGCACTGGGAAGAAGAAAATGCACATGCAATCAAGTCCCAGCCCTGGCTATGGACCTTGAGGACTGGACTTATTTGTTCGGCGTTTTCTTGACATCTTTCGTCCGAAATCACTCCGGAGACGGGAGAACGCGCGGAAGATGTTCCCATGAATCGCCATGAGCGGATGTCAATCGAGAGTGGTCATCCGGGCGCATTGGGAGGAGCTCGCAGGCCGAGTTAGGGCGCGTCAGATTCTCCGAAACGACATCGGACCGGTAGCTTCGCATTGCTATCAGGTATGCCGGCTAGTCAAGAGCGAACACGCTCGGAAACGACTGCAGCAGTCAATTCCATCGAAGAAGCGAGAGTAGACCGCCACCTTCTGGGGATGACATCATGCTCTTCGGATGGATATTCGGAGATGGGCCGAGGATACCATCGCTCGTGGATATCAGAACCCGTCCACTATGTACATAGCCTGCGAAGATCCCGCTGTTTTCGCGATCATGAGGAAAATGGGGAGACCGACTTCTTCGTTGGAAGAACGCGGGCAGTGTGTGACTCACAGCGATATGGACGACAGGTAGATGCGCGTATTTTCGACCGTTCTCCATGAAGACGGATGGAAAAAAATTTCGATACTTTCCTCTTCGCGGTTACGTGTTTTTGATTCCGCCGACGAGCAATGCGCTAGACGGCTGTCTCTCCTTTATGGTGCTTGACTCTTGTTACGCTTTCGACTGAACTTCCGTCAATGCATTGCTTCAACGATTGTCGTGATGGTGTGACATGCCGGCTCCTTCTTCCTCGTGGGGAAACTTGGTCGACATACGCTGGAAATTTCGATGAGGAAGACTCTCGTTACGCTTTCGACTGAACTTCCGTCAATGCATTGCTTAAACGATTCTCGTGATGGTGTGACATGCCGGCTCCTTCTTCCTCGGTTTGATTACTCCCGGGAAACAAGGACGGGAACCGATGTATTGCCCCGTCTCGTGTAAACCCACTTTCCATTCGAATCTCGAGACCATTCAAGACCCTTCGAGAATTCGACATCCCGTCTGCTCGCACACCAGGTCGGATATCCATTCACAGAAATCGTTGCTGGAACGAGAAGTCGTCCACAGCCCCGCGGCTCCTCCAAGGTCCTCGAAGATCGGCACGAAGATAATTATCGATCCTTGACCAGAGTCTCCGGAGAACCCCCCACGAATGAGTTCCGACGTTCCGAGTAGACCCATGGAGGACTCGTGAAGCGATTCATGCGGAACGGGCTCATTTACTTCTCGGGCGCATGAACGACCAGCTACGAAAAATCATCGAAGGAAAAAGTTGTTCCCCCACGCGATATCCCATTTATTCGACTTATTGAAGGGAGGGCGAATCCCGGGAACTTCGGTTTCTTCAAAACGAGTTCTTCGGTTTCCCGTCACCGATCGGTCTCGTTTCCTCCGGATCACACCGCTTTCATTTGTCCCTTATGTCCCTTATGCCGGCAAGAAAACCAGATCTGGTTCTCATGGCGGCAAGACCCCCGTCGGAATTCGAATCTCGGAATCGAGGAAAAAACTAATCTTGCTGGAATCTTCGATCGATGGTGCGAGAGCATCAAAGTCTGATGCTCTCCCAGAAAGTTACTCTCGGTCCACCCAAATGAATACTCCTGACTCAAGAGAGACACTGCTGCCTGTTTCTGAGCTCCGAATTGTGGGCTCCCTTGACCTCCGCTGAGCCATTGCTCTCGAAGAAGGCGTTTCCACGGACGCTCTATTCCTTGATCGAATTTCGAATTGTTTCCGACGTAAGCGATCACTGACATGTAGTGTAAACATCTCGGTCAACGACCGAGCTCTCGAAAGAAACAGCGCCGGAGAACGCTGAAGCCAGCACGGGGAGTAGTCTCGGGAGAAGCATCAAGTCATTCCTCCCACCTCCGAACTCTGAACCTCAAAACCACAGTTTCCTTCGAGAAGTATTCCTTGCGGTGTCATGGTGAGTGCTCTTATTTCCAGACCGAAGTTTCCAAAGATTCGAATAGAAGCGATTTCGCTCCAGCCGTTGGCCGAGCCCGTTCGGAACAGCGTCAGTGTGCGCAAGCCGTGCGGAGAATGAGTCGCGACTAAGCTGAATGATATTCCCTGCGCGATGCACGAAACATTCCTCGCGCGTTTGGTGCGACAAGCGGGATCGCGACTCGGCACGTTCGGTCCGTCTTCAGCAACAAATTATAATTTGAGGAGACGTCGAGCACGCTAATATGAACGGGACGGTATGCATCGATTCCTAGCGACCCTGCGTCTGTCCCGGAGTCTGGGTATGTGACGTCTACGAATCTGGACGAGCAGGGTTCTTTCGCGTCGACCGCAAAAGCATTGAAGGCATTCTTGGGCCATGATCTTCGGAGAGAGAGAAGGTTGATCGTCGCAACAGGGAAACGAATGAAATATGTTACGGTATCGTAATACAGCTCCGAGGAAACTGAAAGAAACGAAAGGACAGAAAACTTCAGAGGACTGTGCGGTACGATGATTTCAGGCATATATTTCGGCTCACTAAGAGTTTTCGTTGTGGAAAAAAAGGTAAAAAAAAGTGGGTGCGTCAAACATTGTACGAAGCTTTCATCGACCAAGGGCAAACTCCGAAATTCCATCCCAAGGGCGACCGACCGCCAAGTGACAGATTTGATCCTGATCCATTATTTTTTCGTGTCGACAACGATAAGCCGCATCAGGAACACTTTATCCGACGACGCCTCGTTCGACGTTTTGTTGACAGGGTCTCTCTCGAGGCCCTTCGAAGAATTTAGTCGTTCTTCTTTTCTTTGAATACAAATCTTACGCAATCCAGTTAGGTCAATATGATCGATATCCATTTTTTCGATCTCCGCGCTGCTCGCGATTCGATTCGCCATCGGGTAAGTCCATGGTCGTCGCGATGAGATGTGTGAGCGAGGATTTCCCCCTCATGATTATTGCGATCATGTATGACTATTCACCATCAACGCGAATCGTGGTTCTATCATAGAATTGAGCGATATCGCCGACCATCCGAAGGATCAGGCAACATGAAGCGGCCTGGGAATCGAATCACCGCTATCTATGAAAGGAATACCGAACACTGGTCCGATCAATGCATGGGCAGCTACACATAGTCGGCGGAAGCTGTCTTCTCTGAGGAACATGAATCAGTGAATCTGATCCTTTGATCATTGATGATGGGCAAGGCGTGAGAGCACTACCTATTCACAATCGTCAGAAGCTTTCCGAGAGCCACCCTTCACGCATCCCGTATAGCTTGGGCTATCGCGAAGTTCAGCACAACTCGGGCTCTACACCTACTCCTGATCCGGTCGTGTCGAATCAATTTCATCATGGCTAGGGCAGCTTGCGACGCGATGCTCACCACAGTATGTTAATTGCCGCGAGCGAAGCGGGTCGGAAGTTTTTCCGACACCAATGATCTCGGAGGAAAAATCACGGTCGCGTATCCGCATCATACCGTGGAAGAGCAGGGATATAGCAGTCATTAACCCGTGATGTATCGCTGGAGGCGACGCTACCGTCTCGGCAGAGAGACGGGCTAGCTATTGGGGCCGTCAACTAGGCAACCACCTGGCACGTCGCTAGAAGCTCTACCTCGGATTATATCTGCCCCCAAACAACGGATAACATCTCTGGCCTCACATGATTTATACTCGGTCGAGAACACATATTTTCTATCGCAATGTTTACGAAGAGAAAGTATTCAAGCCGTTTGCCGATCGAATGAATTAGGAAGCGCTTTTCCATGAGTCTGAATCACTCTCGGGTGGGAGGCTTCGCAGGGGATAGAAAGCACCGGTGGCTCCGCTGAGAGCCCGCTGCGGAACCTTCCTCAGACATTCCGAGAGTAAGTTACGGTCTCCTAGGGGAGTCGATAGAAGTCCGGATAGCCCGGCCGCTTTCTTCGTCGTGGAATATCAACTTTGAGGTTCAGCGAGGAGAAAGGGGGAAACTTAGGAAATTAGAAGACGGGTGCTATAATGACCAGAAGCGGACCAAGCCGTCTTTGCTCCGGGAAGGGATCCCACCGCTAATCCGCTCTACCCCCGTCATCTCGCTCCTAATCAACATTCGTAGCGGCGAAGCCCTGGAGTTCTCCGAGCGAGACGCACCTGGTGCGCCCCACCCGAGAGCAGAAAAGGTTCCCTGACTTGGCAGACTTCGACAGATAGCAAGAATTGGAAAATCTTAGTAAGTTCCCAGCTAGTGTCCAGTGCTCCGACAAAGCTGTTGGACTAGTGAGCGACAGACGTTAGCTCGGCCTGGAGAGCGCAACTACTCAACGACAGACTCTCTCAGGAGACGCCAAGAGGCTCCGTGAGAGGAGGATAGCGTTCATTGGAAAGGGCCTCCAGGGCCCGGTGTTATTGCCAAGGGTTTAGGCAACGACCACAGATGGCGCTACCGAAGTCCATGCCGCGTTGTTTTGTTCGCCAGGTCTTCTCTCCCGCGATGGCTTCCCTGGCTCGTGCTGCTGCTGGTTGCGCACTACCATTGGATGACTGACTGACTGAGTGACTGACTGACTGACTGACGAAGCGCTTGACAAGCGACCGCATTACACGTTCGGAGCCTGTACGTCTCCCAAGCTGCCAGATAGTAAGCTAGGAGGTCCTCTATAGTGGAAGGTGCAACGCGGCAAGGGGCCTGGTCGACAGGGCCCGTTCATTCACCGCAGTCTACGGTGGCGGCGGTTGTCTCCTCGGCTCCATATAGCCCTTTCCTTCGGTAGGGAATCCCCGACGTAGCTCCTCCGGCAGGCAGCTACGTAGATTTATTGTTAGCTGACTTCGAACGTAATTCCTGCCTGTCTCGAGTTTCATGGAGCTCATGTCGATCGCGCGGTCTTCGGAGCTCTAAATCGGATGGTCGGATCCTTTCGTTCGGACCCCGGAACGGCTGTCCGCGCAGCCAAACTGAAAGAAGCTACGAACTCACAGCCGATCGATCGGTGGACGCATGTGGGGAAGAGTGCACGAATGAATGTCGATGTGGAGTAATTGATCGCGAGAAAAAAACTGTCAGCTGTGCGGGAGTTTCTGGTGATTCGAGTGATTCAACTCATCGGATGAGCGCTGGAAGTTTTGGGAATTTGCGTGGATTCAAAAAGTGTGATCTCTGTTGCGGACCCTTCGCCGAAAGTCGTGAGCCTCGTGAGTATATTTCGACGTTAAGACTTAATCCTCCATGAATCGCCCCGGTGGGTCTCGGGCGTGATTCGAGTGAGCGCCCGTCTGTTTTGCACGGTCAGACATGAACGTTTGTCGGAGTCTCCACATTTTTAGAATCGGAGCAGCTTGGCCTCAAGCTCTCGACCTGCACTCGATGCGGTATCCCGATACCCAGCCTCCGATTGAAGATGAGAGCCCCCAAGCATTCGACAGAATCACTCTCTAGCTAGGAAATCGGAGAGAATCAGGAGCGCGAATCCATCGGTCGTTCACAATGAACTTCCATGGAGAAGCCTGCTTCCTGCGAGTTGAATGCAGTTTTTTTTATATTCATTCCATTCTCAGAAATCTGTGGCTAATGCTTTCTCATCAAAACAATGATCTGTGGCACAGCTGGCCCCTTCCGACTTCCGCGCATAGAAGGCACTGATGCTTCATGCGAGCATATTGCTCTGAATGCTTGGAGTGACGGTCTTCCGGAATCGTATGCGTTGGAGAGACAGGTTCCTGCTGTCCTCTCTACTCGGAAGTGGTTGGCCACCACATCATTTTTTTATTCCGCTGGCTCGTCATATGACTTTCAACCGGGAACCAGCTGAACGTGATCCCAGAGAGAACGAGAGAGGCGTTCACAAATCGTACGAAAGTAATTGTCACCCTCATCCGTGGACGGCTCTTCCATTTCTTGAAATATGAATCACGCCGTAGGTCTTATATTTCATTCCGGAGCCCATGCGGTCGGATTTCTCCATGTCAGACAGGCTGACTGATTGGGCAATGGATGTCAACAACCGGAGCGCGACGATTTTTCGTAATATTATATCATCCTGATCTGAATGATTCTCTGCGTTTTGCGGTGAACTCGTGCTCTGCGGATCAGTGGGATATCTCTCGAAGGAAAAAAAATATCCTCGGTGTCTTCCAATGATGGTGCCGATGGCCTCGCAGCTGTGTGCCTCGTGATCGAGGCCTAGCTACCGCCGGAATGCCGTGCACGCGGCCAGCAAGCTTGTCCCTACTATCGATGGGCTCCTTCGCCCTCCTACGAGCTCTCTATACGATCCCGCTCGGCAATCACAGAACCATGTCGTCGATCCTCGCCTGTAGTTGTTTCTCTCCCTTCCTCTGATACGTGACATACACGTTATATACACATGATATATAACGTACCCATATCCTTCGGCGCCGAATTCACGTTCATCTTTGTTTCGAGCTCCCACATCAGAACACGGCGATGACCGTTGCGGGTGGAGCCGATCAGCGCTCATATGTCGTCCCTCCCCCCCCTCCGCATGTTATTTCTTCATATGCGATGGAGAATCACGCACTCCTTCGCACTCATGTCCATGAAACCTCAGATCGAGCCCGTCGAGTTCCCTGCAGGGAGCCAATAAGCCAAGATCAGCCAGACATCGCGCACCCAAACTTGGCGGTCTCTGTGTACACGACTGAGGCATTTGTGTTCCCACCGTATTCTGGCATCGCTTTTGTTTTCGTTGAATGCGTCTGTCTGCTCAGACGCTCATTTTTTCGTAATGTTCTACGGCCACACAATCAGACCATTGGACCGCCCCTCGATCTCCGGACACGCTTCGTTTTAGGTTGCGAGCGGTCGACGTTTGTGCTCTCTGACCACATCGTCCGACCGACAGATTACAACCTGACCGAGCGGACGATCGGCCGCTCGACCGACCGACGGAACGCGTGGAAGAGTCAAGCTACGTCGACTGTTGAGCGGCGACTTTGTCAACCCCGAACCATCCCGACCCGAGAGACCTGACGGCGTCTCTCATGTTTTAATATGCCCGATCGCAACTTGGTTTTATTGTTCGCGCAATAACTCAGCTGAGCCATAACCATGGCATGCACGAAAGCGTCAGAATCAATTACGCCGAGGGTCCAACTCGTTGCATCGGAGCGTCGTTACTGCTGATAGAGAGGAGACATTCGTTTTCGTTTGGTGTGCGGTTTCTCCTGCGGTGGCGGAAGACCAACGTAAGGAACAGACGTCTTGAGACGCACATTTTCTGGCGCCGTGGATCTAGTTCGGTTTCATACGCTTTGCCGGTCAAGTTTTCCGCCCGTCGAGTTCTTCCGTCGCCGCCGCAGAGTCGTCGCTCGGCTCCGGTCGCCCTTCTGTTCTTTCTCTGCATTCTGTGGACGACAGCAACGCTGCGCTGCCAGAACTTTTCTACTAATGTGAGTGAGAGGATCCGTCTTTTCGGAGTGAGCTCCGCAGTCGACATACGGCCTGTCGCGAGGTAACCAGCACTCATGCTGTCGGCCGCTACGATATCCCTACCGCCAGATATCTGAGCCCCGACACAGCGTTAGCCCGAGGGCATCGATGGAATATTCTGCCTGCGCTCTCCCTTCCTCCACCATCCAGTCTTCTCGCTTTCATGACGCTCTGCGTTCTGCGTTTCGGCACAACTATTGCTTTACCGCCCGTGGTCACCTTGGATCTGTGGCGCCGGAATGATAAGTTTACGTCTACGACGTTTCCTCTGCGAGATGATCGGAATAATATTTTTTTCACTGACTGAGATGGAGATTTTTTTGAGGAGTGGTATATTTTTCCCGGAAAAATGTAGGGAATCGCTTCCTGAATTCGCTCGCCACCCTGGGTCCGACGGAGCTTAGACGCCACCGTCACCGAGGTAGATAAGAGGACAGTATCGAGAGGCGTACCGTGATTCTAGGCGAGCTGAGCGGTTGGTATCCGAGAAATCTATCGATATCTCATGTAGAGCTAGATCGGATACATTCACTCATACCCAACGCAGTGTCACGAGTGCGCCATCCCATCGGTAGTCTTGTTGACTTCCCGAGGACGGAATCGGAGAAGCCTTTGCTTTGCGGTGTGTACGTAATCACCCGGAAGCTTGCTTGTTCATCCACCAGCGAAGCGATGCCTCGTGGGAGGAATTCGATGTCGACGCTCTCGCGGTTTGCTCCCAGCTCCACAGATGGAAAGACTCGAATGATATCACGATCGAAAGGAATTACCTTGTTCTTCGTCAGTGCGAGGGGATTGTCCGGGAATTTCCTAGGGCTCTTTCCATCCTCAAGCCCGAGATTTGGATATGCAGACATACTGTGGAAGAATTTCAAAACTGCTTCATTTCATAACTCAATATCGAGCCATAGTCACTTATTCATCCGCGCTTTTTCGACTTTCCAGAGAATCTTATCGACTTATTTTGTTTTCAAGTCACGGCACACGGAGCCGGTTAGTCGGTAGAGGCATCGAAGCAGGGCGGCGCGGTGTCCGTCCCCACAGAATCGAGAAAGAAATATATCCATTCTCTCTAAGATGTCGGACGGGATTACTCGAGGATCAATGGGTCAAGACCTCTGTGCGCCAGTCAGAACACAAATGTTTTCTCTGGGGAAGTCTGTGCGACTCGCTGCTGGGTAGCTACTTATAGCCGTTCGATCACTAAAATCAATTGCTCACAAATGAATCCTGGAGCGGTCACTTCATGCTGTGGATCAGACTTCTGACGCCCTTTATATTTATCAATTCCTTAAGCTCTCCCGCGAATCGCTCTCGAATTTTCCGCGCCACTCCAGAGCGTTCCGCTGGATTTGGTGAACAATCAAAGCAATGGTGTCTCGCATTGACGATGTCGTTGATATGTCCTCGAGCCCCGCATATATGATCCATTGCCACAAGTCGTCGAGGTCACTTTGAACAGGCGGTCAACTTCCTCGAGAACGAGCGGAGATTGTCTGACAGTCGCTCCGAGCCCGGCGACGGCATCTGCTAAAAGGCGATTTTGTACAAGTCAGAATCAACTGGATCGGTTCTATCACGAATCACGAACATCAAAGACACTCCTTGACCCGAGAGGAAGAGATACAGCGTCATGCTTCAGCCGTTTCTGAAAACGCGAGGAAACTCGTCACAGCTTTTCCTCCATGACACACGCGACAATTACAGCGATTCTGAGTCTCGCTGAGATGTCAACGCGTGTGTGATAATTTAGCGTTCCCTTTCTGCTTGTAATCTGAGTGAGGCTCGGAAATTAAGCTCCTCCGAGGCCAGCTGTTGACGAGTCCGTCGTCCCTGTGGCGTTATCAAAGTATGCACTGAAAAAATAGGCACGGCAACGACACCCAAAGCATCAGCAGACCTTGAACTTCGGCGAGCATGAACGAAGTCGGGAGCGAATGCTGGCTTGCATCCGAATCGGTGCATTATTCGTGGAATGCGTTCGATCGGACGACGTTTGCGGAATTCGACTGCGTATCGAAACCTCTATGAAAGCGACTGCTTAGAACTTAGTGGGACCTTAGTCCTGTCGCCGGCGTCATAAATTATCAACTTCGAATCGTTCGGACTAGGAGGCGCGATAAAGCTCCAATCTGTCGGCCGATAAATTCATCGCCGGTTAGCCGTGACGATGTGAGATCCGGCGGCCGCGCGGCTGGCTCGAGTTACTTCTCTTTAGCATTCCAAATCGTATCGGATCGGCAATGTGTGCGTGAGAGAGCTGTGTCGCGACAAGGAACGAGAGATACCGGACTAAGCAAGGCTACACGGCAGATTTTCGGGTTCCTTTCCATTGTTCAGTGGCTCCCGGTGTAACACTTTCAGCTTCTCCCGCGGGCTCTCCCTGTAGCAGCGGTGTTGTTTTTCGATAGCTGCCGGGGAATGGAATTTCTCATCCTCGCGATGAGCGAAGAGAGGGCCGGGAAGGATCTTCCTTGCTGGAGCCTTTGTTCACGATTCCGATCGGCCGTGCTCCTGCGGCAGCTTCCTTGAGGCCCTTCTTGAGACAAAAACATTTTAGATATTATTTATGGAACATCCTGAATTTTCAAGTCGCTTGGAGCGCTTTCTCCGGTCTCGGTCGGACAAGTCAAACGATTTCGATAGCCTGCGCTCGTGTCGGTCTGCGGATGCCATCAGGAAAGTCTGGAGTGGAAGGCGCCGCCGTGGTAGTTGTCCGGTAATTCTCCCCAGGACTTTGCTC